GAGGTCGCTAGAGAAAAATTTTCTGTGCTACTGGGGGTACCCCATTTGTACCCCACCCGTACCCCTTTGTACCCCCACCCGTACCCCCTATGTACCCCCACCTCGTACCCCTTTTGTACCCCCATGGGGGGTATACCCCCTGGGGGTATGGCAGAGTATACAAATTACATTGAGGTGCTGAAAGGCAAAAGCTACTGGGATGCCGAAGCCGAGTGCTCCAACAAGTACGACGGTCACCTGGCCAAAATCACGGATGATAGCGAGATGCAAATCATTGCCACACGTTCGTTTTGGGTCCTAAAAACTGATGGCTGGGTTAAGATGTCATGGCCAAGGAGAGCCCGGGGCACAACATGTGGGTCGGGGCCGGAAAGGTCAGGCTTCTAAAACGTCTCGTTTATGTTACGCCTCGTCTTTAGGCGGTGCTGAACGGCTCCGTGTTGTCTCGGGTTTGGCTGAGCGACAGCTCCGCAATGACGGGCGCTTTCGATGCACAGCTGGCGGTGGAAACCGAAGATTGTTACGTGCTGCTGGTAAGGACAGAGTGACCCCTCGGAATTTGGCCGTCTTCAATCGGACCGGGACCAAATTTTTACCAGCGATGCGGTCTCACACAAACTACGTGCAGCAAAATTATATAGGCAAAATATTGTAAAACAAAAAAGCTATCGCTAGAAAACTGAATTTTTGGAGACACTTGTACTCATTTTTGGCTGTTTTCAAACAACTAGCAACGCGATTTTGAGTAATTTTCGAAAAATGGTCATTTTCCGCTCGGTTTTGACAATTTTCATAAGAAAAAGCAATGAAAAGGCCCAATTTACACGCCATTTTCGTAAATAAAAAAGCCATTTCAGCTTATCTTGAAAAAATAATTCGTAATCTTGCCATTTAGCCAGCCCGTACTTATGCCCAGGTGGCGTGTTCCACACTTTTTGAAGCAGTGTGCAAGACGCCAATAGTCGTAAGCGCAGTTTTTCTTCGATTTCGGCGTTATCCCATTTTAGAACCCGGTTCTCACAAACCCGAACTGCCCGGATGGCTGGGCGCCCTACAAATATACGCAAAAGTGCTATAAGGTAAAATTGAAAAGCTCCCGGTTTCTCAGCTTGAATAGCTTGAATCGGAAGCCGCCAACAAGGCTGATGCCGTGGAAAAATGTCTGAAGGCCGGCGGAAACCTGACCTCTGTGACGTCGTACGGGGAGAATGAGTTTGTGCTCGGTAAACCTATTAAAAATAATGAATACCGTACTTAGATCTGGCTGGTACTGTCGGGAAGGTATGGATTGGAGCGATCAGGGTAAGTAGTATTAAGAGATGGCCTTGGTCACTTCCGGTATGCAATAGAACTTGGCACTCCATTTAGGACGGTACTCAATATGTGTGGATGGACAAGGAGCCATTTAACGTTGCCTACTGGGCCAGAGGGCATATAGCTGAAGCGGAACGGACTGGTGGATGCGTTTTGGTATTGAAGAAACATCTGAAACGATACGCACGCTCTCTTATAGTTGGTGAATACAAAGACCGGCCCAGAGGCTCATCGCTGGGTTGATGCGGATTGCGCGGCGGCCGGAGGATTCCCGGTTTGCAAGAGAGTGAGACTATAAATGCAATTGTTTAATCCTCTATGTTTTCAGAACCCCAGCTAATAACGAACCGACAGGATAAAACTAATCGAATAAATTTTATTTCCTGGCAGTCGCAAAGGGATTGGCGTGGTGCACGACCATGCAAACTTCAAAAACGTACAGCCGCCAGTTTTGTGAAAATCGGTCTGATCCTGGCATTGTAGACTTGGTTGGAACGTTCTCCCGGATAGCCTGACGAGGCGTCACGAGGCCTTTGATGCACGAATGCAAGGTTTTCTCAGGATTGCTATCCTCGTGAACCAAATTCATGGAATTGGTGCACCGAACCATCCGGTGTATCTGACCCCAATCTATCCCGGGCGCCTTTTGAGCGTCGTTCTGGGCGACGATGAAAGATTGTCCGATTTCAGTAATTTGTGAGCCACCATTTTCATTAAAGACCCAGGTTCCAAGCAACACAGAAACATCGGATAGAAACGTGCAGGCCTGTGGCAATTGTTTCCGAATCAGACCCCCGGCGGTCGGCTTTTGCAAAGGCTGCCGAACTTAGCAAGTCAGATTGTTAGCCCGGAATTTTTAATCAGAGCCGTATCTGAGAAATCCGAAAAGAATCGAGCCCAGAAATTTTTCCCAACATGCTGTTCAGGCCACTCCTATTGCTTTTGGCGATTGGTTTGTTGGCAAACAACGGCACACACGAAAATGTTAGGAGCCATGTTGGCTGCTGCCCTAAATGAAACGATTGGAAGTGAAGTAACGCCGGAAGCGGACGTAGAGGTGGTAACTTTCGAAAGAGTCCTACATAGCGCTGACGATGAAACGGATTGGGACAGAACGCTTGCGACTCCGCCACCCGGGGACGAGGAGGAAGAGGTTTGCTAGAATTTTTGCAGCCTGACCAGATGTGCGGCTTTTCAGTTTTTGTCGGAAGAGGCTGAGTTTGCAGTAGAGGTCGGTGACTTTTTGCCCCGATTCGAAAAAAAAGAAATTTCGACAAAATGATATTTCGACACAGTGATTTCGTTTGTAGCCAGTTGCGTGTACATATGCAGGGCCGTAACAAACCCAAATTTCGGGGGCGACCCCAAAAATTTTTCACGAATATGACTAAAACTACAGCGCCGCAGGCAAAAATTTTGTAAATATAGGGTTTATAACACTAAAACTAGTGTTAAAAATAGACAAAAACAGCGCCGCAGGCAAAAAATTTCTTGGAAAAATTAAATCATAAGGGTCCCCCCTTATGAACTTTTCGGCCTTCGGACGATTTCGGGGGGGGGGGCTCGCGCCCCGGCCCTCTTACGGGCCTGTACATATGTACCAAACGAACGAATTTAGTTGCACTGCAGCCCCAAATGGACCCTTGTGGGTTCGACAGAAAGATGCGTACAGGTATCTATTAACTTGACGGCGGACGACCGGAATAGATTATCTATGACGTCACTGGGGACGAGGCAAAGCAGCGGTGCCAGCAGCAAAACGCCAGCCTCGCATCCGTCCATTCAGCCGAGGAGAACAAGCTTTTCTTGGGTGAATGAGGTTCAAGGACAAAACCTAGAGGTTCAAGGAGTAATCATGCAATGCAAATCAGCTAGCGATTTGTGCACCAACCTAGATCAACTAAAGGTTTTACAGGGTGACCGAATCAAAAACACCCCTCTAATTCGACACAGAAGTATCGGATCGGAATTAAAGTAACACCATTCGATAGCCCTTAAACGGCAAGCTTTCATCAAGCTTCAGAACCATTTTTTTATTTAATTGCGCTATTTTTACAGCTATTTTGGAAAATCTCCCGGTTTTCTCGGAGTTGCATACGAGCTGGTTTCGGAGTTGAATAATTTTTCTCCAAGCAAAATGCCCGAGGTAGCGGTTAATTAGTTGCAGAGGGAGTGCCATCCGGGTTTAAGATCGTTATAAAAATGCTCGTTTACATAAAAACACGGTTAAAAAATTGGTGCAAACTCGCCTTTTCAAGGACTTTCGAAAGGTGTATCTGTCGTTCCGAACCGATACTTCTCCGTCGAGACAGAGGGCTGTGCTTTTTATTCGTGCACCCTGTAGACATGGTACAACAAGGGCTAGCAGCGCAGTCCAAAACCGCCTTGACCGTCTACTTCCCAGAGTGGGCCGGTCCCACGCTGCTGCTTGGAGCACATCGGGTAAGCATCGATCCGCCCCGCGAGCAGCTCTGAAAATTCTCCATTATCTCTATAGTCACCGAACAATAACACTTCTTTCCTCTGGGATGACGGCTCGGCGATGACCTACACGAATTGGGAACAGGGACAACCGGACCAAGACGGGGAAAAGACGAAGGTTGCTTGGAGGTACCGGCCCTCTTCTTCGCTGCTTTAACTTAATTTTTAGGTATATCTCGCCAATGGTAGTTACAAGGACGTGAGGTGAGTGTCTTAAAGGGATACCGACGGCATAGTCAATGGGTTACGCACTGGACAGAAAATGTCTCTGCGCCTCTCCCCCTGGGCCCGCTCTTTGCGCTGTTGGCTACTTGCCAATTTGTTGATGGGGGGGGGGGAAGTCGACAAATGCCGCCGGCAGCCCTTTAAGCTATACGTCAAGAATCGGCACGTTCAACTTTAGAACTGTTAACCTGGGCAAATGGAACGATTATAACTGTACATCCAAACGTTCCGCAGCCGCATGCCAGAAATGGGCGTTCGGGGCCGTAATCCCAAGCGTGGCTTCACCTGCAGGTAAGTGGGCGCGTGAATTCCGGCATCCATTTGGGTGGCCTCTTTCATTTTGTCGAAATATCATTTTCTGGGACTTTCATTTTGTCGAAATTTCAATGCCTCGTCCACCTCGATTATTTTTCTCAAACATTCGGCAAATTGAAATTTCGACAATATAAAATTTCGAGGAAATGAAAGTTTCGGCAAAATGATAGCAAATCCATTTGGGTTTCTCTGATCATTGCATTTTTCAGCTCACAATGGACGATGAGGCAGATGAAAGCAAAAAAACGGACTCGGGATAAAATAAATAATTTAACAATCGGTGAAATCGATCCAAGCAGAGAAGGGGCGCGCATCGAGGAGAGGTGCAGACAAAACCCTGCATCTCTGCCCGGCCCCTGTACGCGGTAAGTTTCAATTATATTAGAGTTCCTTTAAATCCGGGCGGTTACATCCGTTCTATTGTAATTTTATTTTATGAGTTTATTGTCTGAAACCAGCCTGTTATCGCACGTCCTCACCTTCCCACGCATAACGAGTCGATCTCCATAGCGAAGATCGTGTTACGGTTCGCAAAACCCATAACATTTTGTTATGGCCGCACCAGGGTGATTTATGTTCATACGCCATAATACGACTACTGTCTGCTCCTTGAAAATCTCACACGGCGGTCGTGGTCCTGTATTTCGTGCGCCCTTTTGCGCCAAATGGCCGTAAAACTTTTGGTACTCCTCTGGGCGCTGGGTACGGTAGCCCTGGGGCACAAATGTGAGGACACGGACAGTTGTGATCAGGTAGGATTTGACTGTCTTTTGAATGCATACTTATTCGCTCTAAAAATAGCTAGGAACTTTTTTAGTTCGGTTGCGAAGACGGATGGACAGCCATGAACCGGACACGAACTTGTTTCAAGGTGTTTTTCATTCTTGAAATTATTTAAAGCAAATTTTAGCTGATCCGCAATATAGCATTTTCAAAAGCGGCATCAGCATGTGATAAATTTGATGCTACAGTAGCTTCAGCTGGAGATGAAGACGAGAATCTGGATCTTTTGGGTTTGTTTCTCTATCTGATATGAGATTTTGAATGGTTTTAGAATTTGGCATCATTGCCCGGGTACAGAAAACAGAGATCTTTTTATTGGGCGCAAAACAGGTTCGAAAGCCTCGTTTTAGCTACGATTTTTGTTGTTTTTAGGAGATCACCGTGATATCTAATGGTGGCCAGAAAGACTTTGATCACAGAGATTTATTTGATCAGAAGGAGAATGTTGATGGGTATGAGGGAAAAGCTAAGCGAAGCGTCCAGGTGAGAAAGAAAGAATCAAGATCTGCTTCGATACAGCTAGTCAATTTTTTTTGTATTTGCCTTCAGAGAGGACGAGCCGGGCGTCGCTGGCGTTGGATGAACGACAGACCCTTCAAATATACAAACTGGTACCATCGTGAATCCTCCGAAGAAGAGTGGGAGGACGACAAGGGGTGTATCGAGGTAAAAAAACGTAATATGTAGTATTGGACGTATGATAAATACATCCTAAGCCCTTTTTAGATGTACGTTCGTCACTGGAATTTCGACAACACAAAGAGCCTCCGGTTTAACATTCAATCGACTGGGGCTGGAAAATGGAACCATGTCAAGTGCGACCAAGGCAATCGAGTGATGGCTTGTCGCAAGGAACAGGTCAAAAGAGTAGGATTAATATTATTTATATCGAAATGCCTAAATAGAAAGCCAAGAAGCCAAAGAAGCCCCGATTTTCTGCCAGCCGTTCCAATGAGGTAAGCTGCCATGTTCTAATTTTTGAACCTTGCGAGCTTTAGGATCCTTGTGATCGCGGATGGACTTATTCCCGTAAAACCAGAAGCTGCTACTTGGTAAGGAAATCACCGTAGTTTTACATAGCTGCTCCAGGCAGTGAATTCGGCCACTGCCGGCCAAGCCCGCCAACATTGCCAATCGAAGAATGCGGTCGTAGCGACAATACGCTCGGCCGAAGAAAACAGGCTGTTACTTGGTAGATGAAAACCCTGATATCTAACAACGCAATTTTTTTGAATTGGCGGTAAAGTCGCTGCGAAAACGGGGAGGATTCAACGATTTCAGTCGACGAGCACCTACTCTGCTGCTCGGAGCTAAACCAGTATTCACGATACCGAGCGAGGTTTATCTCTTTTTAGGGAACCTCTTGCGATAGCGGGTGGACACAGGGAGACGGAACTAATAAGTGTTACAAGGTATGCACAAGGCTTCAGTGGGACTGTCCAAAAACATCAATCTCTTCTTGCTAGTCAATTTTTAACAGGCTCTCTCTTTCGCTCTCGCTCTCTCTCTATCTTTCGCTCTCTCGGTTCCTCTCCCTTTCTCTCACTCTCTCTGTGTCTCATAAGTCAACTTTCAGTTCCTCGATACCATGCTTCTATTCTCTGAAGCCACCAAACAATGCCAACAGATTGGGTCCCGAGTGTTGACTATCCATTCTTCAGCTGAGAATCAATTTGCTAACGGTCACTTGGATATTGTTTTCCTGAAATAACGTACTATAGCATTCACAAAACGCACTGGTGGTCGGGATTTCGCCTGGTTGGACGCTTCCAGGGTAAAACTTTGACTAGTAAAGTACACTAAATTCGTTAGACCGGTACCGGCAAGTATGACTATGTCTGGAACGACAAATCATCGATGAACTACACGAATTGGGACAACTTTTTGATGGATTTTGCCCGGGTGGAGGAGTATTGCTTGCAGGTATGCCACTATAAATACCTGATTTAAAAATTAGAAAAATCTATGAAACCTGTAAGAATTGTATTTGGATCCATTTTAGCTACGCCCCGACGGCCGGTGGAATGATTATCCGTGTTTTACACCAGAACGCACGCTTTGTCAGAAGGAAGTAAGTTTTTTAGTGTTTTGGGCACGCCGTGAACTTGGAAGTCTCGTAATGGGATCGGCATTTTAGTTCGGCTGGACCTGGGCCGACGGAAGTCCGATGGACTACAAAAACTTTTTGGAGGATGAATCGAAAATTGCAAAGGCCGGTAGCGGCTGTCTTGAGGTATCTTTAGCGACTAAAATGGGAAACTAACAAAAGCACCTTTGTTTAGATGCAACTACGCGAGGGCAATGACTTTAGGTAACTTTCAAATGTTTAAAAAAAGGTTAAACGTTTTAAAAGGTGATAAAGGTTAAAGTTTTAAAAAGGTTGCAGTGTTGGGAGGTATTCGGCCATTTTATAGCTCATAGCTGCAACAAAAAATTGAAGTAAAACTCAGTTTTATAAGTTTTAGGAACTAGCAGAGTTTTTCCCACCAATTTTCTCACACGAATGCGTCAATTTCAACCATCGGGATTTTAAAAGAGCTTCTATTAGTACGTCGAATTACTGTCATTTTTCCTAAAGTCCTTTTTCCTAAAGTTCATTTTTCCTAAAAACGCTTAAATATCGAAAAAGTCTCGGTTTTTTAGTATTATGCATCCAAAAATTGACATTTTTCATAACTTAGAAATGCCTAGCGTGGTCATAGGAAGTATTTTAGTTGCGCGTTTAGCCTAGGTTTGGGTGATTGGAAGTGAAAAAGGATCAATGATAATGAGAAAGGGTTTAGATAAAAGCCTACTAATAACCAAACCAAACAAATACTGCTAAGAAATGATAGCATTTGGAATTTCTTGATATTTTTACGCATCGCTATTGAATGAAAAATTTTAGGAAAACGGAACTTTAAGGAAAATGATTGTTAGGAAATGAAAACATAGCCCAATTTCAACCATCGGGACTTAAAAAGAGCTTCTATTAGTACGTCGAACCTTTCGGAGGTCAATGTCCGGGGCGCGGTTTACGATCAATAAAAAACATTTGGACTGATTTCACTAGATTCTAAGGGGATCGTTTTTCCAGTTCAAATTACGCCGGAAAGTGGAACGAAAACTCGTGCGACAATGCGTTTGATGTGGCGATTTGCCGGAAGTATGCTAACCTTTGAGACTGATCGGAATAAAGAATGTTTGAATGTGTTCAGTCGTTGCAACTTCTACGGCCAGTTTTGGATGGTTTAAAAGGGTTTAGTGCCGTACTATCCACACCAAATGACGTGTGGTTTCACGCTAATACATCGCTAGCCTCTTGTCTATTTCAAACGCTCTTTTTCTCGCTTTAAAATTATTCATAAGACCATTTTCCCTGATTGACGTCGGCCAAGACACCGCCGACAAGCGGAAGTCTAGTCTGTTTTTCTAAAAGCCCGGCAGCCCATCCATTTCCATGAAGAAATGCTGGGGAGCGGCGCCTCGGACGCATTTCCAGCCATGGCTACTAAGGACAAAATTTCGAATGTCGGCCGCGGCCGACGGCTACAAATTTCGCGGCCTCAAAATCCCACTTTACTTTGAAGATGCAATCTGTTTTGCTGTTTCTGAGCTTTGCAAGTCTTGGTTCTGGCGACCATTATTTCCTGCAAACTTCTGATTCTGCCGAGGCGCCGGTTGGAACCTGCTTTGCACAGTGTGCAAAATTGGGTGAAGCTTGTAAAGGCATTGGTTTGTCTGTTTTAATCAAATGGTGGAGATCGTTTTAAGATAGCGCATGTAAAATTTATGGCGCAGATGACGTGGGGCCGGAATTTTTGTATATTAATAGCTCGATCGGACTATCAACAGCATCAGATGATGAAAAGGCAATCGGAGAATGTGGAATGCCGTTTGTTGAGAGCATCGAGGTAACACACTTAAAATATCCGTTTTAATTCAGAAAATTTATAATCCACTTTCAGTCGATTTGCGATCCCGGCTGGACAAAAAATAATGTTTCGAATACTTGTCTAAGGGTATTTAATGAATTCTTTAATCCCCAAATTCTTTATATCGTCCTAAATGTGACGTTCGATGAACTGCGTGCAATTTGCTCAACTTATAATTCGACAATAGCCTCAATGCACTCTTCGGCGGATAGCATGCTTATATGGAGTCAGGGGTTTCCAGCGATTTCCGGGCGATTCATCCGGATTCGCATCCGTTTTATTATTTCCATTTTCGGAGTTGCACTGTCTGACATGGAGTGCCTTTTGAGTGTCGTGGGAAAGAACGTTCGAGACCTAGCTCATTCGTCAGAGAATTCCACTTTTTTCACTGTTTCTTTAATTTCATACAATCAAGGCTAGTCATTCTGCAAATAAGGCGCATCGGGGGGTTGTTAGGAATACAATTTCCTATAGAATAAGCTATTTTTCTTGCATTAATTCTTGCAAGTTCTTTCTTGTAATAATTCTTGAAAGGTTTTGCCCGTGACACAAAAAAGGCACTCTTTGTGAGAATGTGCGGCATCTTTTGAACCATCCTCTGTGATTAGCGCTCACGACAAAAGCGTTGAAGGATGCTGGTATCAACCTCGCGTCTGGCGGACTCCACCCTACATTGGTCGGCGCTTATAGGGTATTGTTTGCAGATTTGACAACCAAACCTCCCTACACGACGCACCATCAAAACCAAACGATGTAGGGTGCAAACATGCACCTCTCCGGAGGAACGATCGTTACTTCTAGAACCACGAGCCGTCACTTCTAAAAATAATGACTTCGAAAGGCCAAACCTAAGCTAAGCCCACGTCCCCTATTCGATTTGCTATCCTAATGCCGAAATTTATAATGTCGAAATTTCATAATGACGAATTTTCATAATGTTGAAATGTCATAATGCCGAAATTCAGTTTGTCGAAATTTTTTCTTTGGGATCGAGTTTTTACCGGTAATACTACTTATGCAAATTTCGACATTCTGAATTTCGACATTATGAAATTTCGACATGATGGCATTTCGACATTCGACATTATTTTCGACCTTCAGTTCCTTGTCTCCTCCAACAGGAGCAATCTTCAGGGCTTCAGGGCTTGGGCTATCTTCAGAATCAAGAGTCATTCTAGACGGGCAACGGGTCTTATGTTTGGGACGATGGCTCTCCAATGGATTATACGTCATGGGAAACCAATGAACCGAGTAATAATAGTAGTTGCGTTACGGTAAATTTACTCTTATTTGGAAGTTATTATCGCCTAGACGTTTAACTTTGGCAGTTCTATGGGAGACAATCGGTAAGTACAACTTTCCGCCGACAGGTTTTCAAAGCCCCTACGACCGTTTTGGCCTTCTCCATAGTTGTTTTAGAGCCGGACCGTTCATATGGGCACTGCTGTGGTATGCCCACGAATGCGATCAATTTGAGGCGGGCACGTGTCAAACCAACGCCCATTTTCCCGCATAGCCAACGATGATAAACTTTGCAATAATGATGTCGGTCACTAATACAAATAAAAATATTAACCTTAAACCCTGTACATGGGCATTACATTATCGCCCATGTCTACAGGGCGGCACACATGTTTATCTGCAGATCACTTTCGTCGGCGTGATTCGAGTAATACCATATCTTTAAGGAAAAATTTCGATATGTATGATGCATCATTAGATGCTTAATGATCTCCAGATCCATGCGCACATACAGGCCCGAGATTTTTGGGGGGCACCCAAGAATTTTGGCGACCTCCCTTCCCCCCCCCCCTCGCCACTTTCAGAACATTCGAAAATCGCTTCTATAACAGCGCCGCAGGCAAAAAAGTGCATAAAAACGCTTCCATTGCGCTCTAATTGGTATGAAAACCTCACAGAAACGGTGCCCCAGGCCTAGATTTTTTGACCAAATTGATGCATTAACGAAAAACGAGCGCCGCAGGCGAAAAATGTTGGAAACATCGGATTTCACAGCAGTAAAACCGTCTTAAAAAATAGTACTAAACAGCGCCGCAGGCAAAAATTTTTTGAAAAAAATCATAAGGGTCCCACCGGTAAGAGTTTACTTCGCCCCACAGCCGAAGTGTCTCAAAGTTTTCGCTATTTTCGCTATTTTGGTCGGGATTTTTTTAAACACCATTCGATAGAATGTCACAAAATATACTAAAAAATATAATTTAAACTTACAATGATGTAAAATAAGCCTCGCAGGCAAAATGTTTTCAAATAAAATTGATACATTCCCTAAAAACCAGCCTGCAAGCGAAAAATTTTGGAAAAAATAGGTTTTTTGACAGTTTAAATGGTTTTGAAAACAATAATAAACAGCGTCGCTGACAGAAAAATTTTTCTGAAAAAAAATCATAAGGGTCCCCCCTTATGAATTCTTCGGCAGATTTTTTGCCAGGAAACAATTAGCATTGGCCGGAAGCGCGTCCGAGACCTGGAGCGTCGCGGTCTTTCAGCTATAATCAAATTTAGGTAAGTTTTTCATGAATTTGGTAATCGTATACATAATGTCGCCTAGGAGCAAATGTTTTGCCCTAATTTCCGAAAGGCGCAAATTTCTCAAGTCCATTTACACCATGACGACAAATAGGCTTCAGTGCACTGCACGGTTGCAATGCGATGCACTTCCGGCCCAGGAATGTCAGCGCTCAACCTTGAAAACAGGATGAAATTTGCCTTCATTCTATCCATTGTCAAAATCCATGTCCTGGCTGATCACTACTTTCTTCAAGTTTCAAGTTCAACGTCGACTCCGGATGTGGAATGTTTCGTGGAATGCGTCAAGGATCCGGAGTCTTGCAAAGGACTTGGTGATTTCCTAATGAGGTTCTGAGTCGTTTTTTAGATACTCCATGTAATGTTTCTGCTGTGGGCCAACCGAATTTTTTATATCTTAACAGCTCGGTGGGAGAAGCCGAATTTTTGGCAAACGGGTTTGAGCTCGAAAGCTGTTGGCCGCTTGTCAAGGAGGCAGAGGTACAGTAACGGTCAAAAAGTTATCAGGTCGGGAAAGCGTCCGTATCTCGGATGCCCTAGCTTTAAATTTTGTAAAATTTGATTCTAAATCAATTATGCAACGGGGAATCCGATGCCGACTTCAAAATCCTGCGAATTTTTCATTTTATTTGTTAAATTGGCTGTTTGAAATTTACTACCCAAACCAACTTTTTCCTGAGGCATTTTTAGATTTCAAAAACATTGCCATCGTGTTCAGGATGGTGGAAATCCACTATCTATCAGTTTTTCGAACATCCGTTGGCTCAGGGCTTGCTCCTGCCAAGTCATGGTAGCTGTCGCGGAGTCATTTTGGTGCCCCGAACGCCCATTGGGCGCATTTCTGCCCCGGCGACGGCAACTTTCTGCCGCCAGGAAAGCCCGTTCCCCCGCAAAAAAAATACGAATAATACCCAGACCATGGTTTTCGACTATTCTGAACACGATAACACTGTTTTTGAAAGCCAAAATTGCCTCAGGAAAAAGTTGATTTTCGCGGTGTTTGTAAAACTGCTAAGTTAGCAACTAAAATGAACGCAGGATTTTATGTCAAAATCGGATTCCCCGTTGATTATTTGACCTAGAATAAATTCTCACAAAATTTAAAGCTAGGACATTCGAGATATAGACGCTTTCGCCGACCTGATAATTTTTTGACCGCTACTGTAGTGCTGGTAAAAATGCATCCCGCCTTTTCTAAACGCTGTCTAATCTTTTTTTTCATCACCCAGTCATTTTAGTCTGTGTGCGAACCCGGTTGGACCAAATTTAACGTTACTGATAGCTGCTATCAGGTATTATTGATAATCTGTCTTCGTAGTATATCAAAATTAAATCATACGATTTAGGCCTTTATCAATGTGACAGCCTTGCAAGCGCGCAATAACTGTGAAGCGCTGAACGCCACGTTAGCATCAATACATTCTGAAAAGGAGAATGCCTTTCTTTTGGGTAAGTTCAGAAAGGCGCATGGATTCATCTTTCACCCGTTTTTTCACTTGTTCCTATACGTACTAAACTTTTCACTTAACGAGCGTCGTCATCTTCTGTTCTTTAGAACTGATGCTGAGCCCATACAACCTTGCCACCGCTCAAATACCATTCCGCGGTCTGATGGGTTTGCTTGGAGCTCATAGGGTAAGGAGCTTCAGCTCGCCGATTAAATCCGAGATCCGAATTCGATATCCGAATAAAAACAG